ATCAATAAATTTCTATTGAGCGGTAAGTGAAAGTTGTGTGTTGCGCGCACCAGATTATTTTTTTAGGTGCCAGCTTTCACACCTTGCTATTGACGCATATTTATAGCTTGAAAAGAACAGAGCTTAAAATGTGTCTAAGCAACTAAGAAAGGGTAATCTTAATTGGAGAAACTTGAAACCATATGAAAAGCAGAATATGCAAATATTACAATGCGATACAACTCCTTATTTTGAAAAGAGCTGTTTATTAGGAAAATTCGTTTAAGACGTCTTGAGCTCTAAAGTTTCTACGGAAATAACAAAATAAAATAACATGAGAAAAAAAAAATATATTATAATATAACTTACGGAAACTGAAGCAGAATTATAATATGGGAAAATAATCTATGGTGGGAGAATAGTTTATAAAAACACGGAATATTCAAATAAATGGGCAGTTGATTGAAAGGACTATGAGAATAAGTAGTAAGTACCACATTTGCTTTATATTCTTGAAAGTATTATATATATATATATATATATATGTATTAAATGATAAAATAGGAATCGGTAGACGGTTAATCACTGAGAGTCACCGTCCTTTATAGCCAAACTCTGGATGATGATTCTTGATAAAATTTCTAACGAAAAAGTTCATTTGATGCTTCGGTAGGTTCCGAACATAAAATGAGTTAAGACCAATTTTGTGTTTTCTTAAGGTGGTCACGGTTTCATTGAGTAAAAAGGAATTGCTAAAAAACTGTTCAATTAAATTTTAAATACACAATCATAAAGCAGATAAATTTTTTTTTGGACAACAGTGATTAAATATACTAAAGCCAATAATGAAAGGGACATTCAAACCTGACAATCTATCCGTTTATTTGAACAAATTGAAATTCTATTTTGCACGAAATTACAAGTTTTGGCCTTAATTGCACATTTTTTGTTTTTGTTGCATCATATTGCATATTATACTATTTAAGGTCTGAATTTCAATTTTAGCAGCTTAATGTAAAATACTTAAACTAAATTTCCTCTTGAACATGTACATAGCTATGTATGTAAATATTTATATATTATATTAGGTTTTTAGTTCAGAACAGGGCTCTCCAACCCGAGGGTGGCATAAGTTCGGTATAGCTTTTAAATTTATTGTAGTCAATTTTCATTTTTTTAAATTACACTTTCAAGTTATCTTTCTGATCCATTTGATGCATGGGTCGATTGCGACCGGAATAAGAGTTAAGCATTGAATAGGAAGGAATCTCTCAAAAACTGTTCAAGATAATTAAATTTTAAGGATATATAAATAATAATAAATAATTAAATTCTAAGTAATAAGTAAAGTTCACAACTTTTTTTTTGAGAAAAAGGTGATTAAATTCACTAAGGTCGATGATAAAAGGGACTTTCAGGAGATCTAATACGGCCGTTGTACAGAGATAAGCTGCCCGTGTATAGGTAATATAACTACCAACCAATACAATGGCCATATTGGCCATCCTGAAAGACCATTTTATCATCGAACTTAGTAAATGTAATCACCTTTTTCTCAAAAAAAGTTGAGTACTTTACTTATTACTTAGAATTTAATTATTTATTATTATTTAGATATCCTTAAAATTTAATTATCTTGGACAGTTTTTGAGATATTCCATCCAATTCAATAAAAATCTGGTGCACGCAACACACAACTTTTACTTCCCGCTTAACTTTGAATAGAAATTATTTTCTGGCCATGTTGGGCTATTATAAAATTTTTTAATTGAATTTTTAACTGAGCTAAAGCTAAAAAATGACAGCTATCAAGTCATAAACACCAAAATAACAAAAGTATTATTTATTACATCATCGGTTAATTATGGATTGTACAATCTGTTGATTATGGATTGTACGATACGTTGATTATGGATTGTACGACTATTAGTTATTAAACTGTTATTTTCCATTGCAAAGTTTACTAAAACGAAATAGAGGGATTTTTATTGTCTATCATAGACAGATCAAAAGTAGTCACACTAATTGTAAGTGAATATTGTTGGAATATCGCAAAAAGAAATTCCATCAAACTCGTCACTAATTTAATTTTCTAAAATGTAACATGATGATTTTTCTGAATAAACGAACGATAGTTACCTAAATATTTAACTATAATATCAGATCTAGTGTTATTAAACTGCAGTAAAAATATTTAAGGTTATAAACGTATCTATGAAATATTTTTATATTTCACATAAGTACAATAAAATAGTGGCATTGCCTTGAATCAGTGGGTTTAAAATACTTTTTCAAACTTTAAACATTTTTTAAAAGTTTACATTTAGTAAGAAAATTTCATTTAATTTCCTTGAAAACATGTTATTATTTAAATATTTTTCGCCACTCTTCGTTAGCTTCTACAACTTTCTATATTAGATATTGTTGTTTTTCTAAAATTCTTCGGTTTCCGACGATATATACGTATACGTTTATACCTTCTGACCAGTATTTCCGGAGATTCATTTTCGGCCTGGATGAGTATTTTATTTTTTTTCTCCTTTATTCAATCATCAAATTCTTCCAAAATTTATATTTAGCATTTTTCCATGACTACCAATGATAAATAGTTATTATTTATAATAAACGAAATTAAAGGTACTTTAGAGGAAAATATGATAATGTTGGGATTTCACAAAGGGAAAATTCACCAAATTATTCACTAATTTAATTTTCTAAAATGTTACATGACAATTTTTCGGAATAAACATTGATTATTTAAATATAATATCAGATCTATAATTATTAAACTACAGTAATTGTATTTAAGGTTATGAACATGTGCTTTATACATCCATTAAATGATTTCATATTTTACTTCTTCTTTCACACAAATACAATGAAATAGTATGGAGATTCATTTTCGACCTGTATAAGCATTTTTATTTTTTTCTCCTTTATTCAATTATCAAATTCTTTCAAAAGTTATATTTAGCATTTTTTCGTAACTCTTAATAATGAGAGATAGTTGATTATTTAAAATAAACCATATTAAAGGTAATTTAGAGGAAGACGCATATGAACATTGGGCATTTAAGCCCTGTAAAGTGACATCAACGGGGATAAGACCTAAATGATATTAAAGACCACTTAATTATACAATGATACACCGAGTTAAATCAAAATCGTTAGAGCCGTTTTTGAGAAAATATTAAAAATGTGTTTCAGCGTTGATATAAAGTGGTTGATATAAAACTTCCGGTTAGCCGATTTTAATGAAAAAATTGCCAGGACATCTAAGGCATATATCTATTTTAAATATGTAATATCAGTTTTGTAGGACTTTTCGAGCTAGAGTATTCACATACAAACAGACAATTTTTTAGGACTTAGTTATTTGGACTCAGGGGACCTTAAAACGTGTATTTCCGTTGAAAATCCAGATTCAAAAATTTTCACGATCTCAATACTTACCCTTAATATATATTACAAGTATAGGTCAGTGAAAGTAAAAAAAAAGTACAATCTTAACTGCTATTCCGTTCAGAATCGGCCCAATCATCAAATGAAATTTTTTGTTGGAAATTTGGTCAAGAATCACACTCTAGAGTTGGCCATTAAGAGCTGGGACACCATGTATATGGCGGAAATCGTAGAACTTTCTAAAATATGTAGTAAACACAAATTAAAAAAAAGATTGAGTGATTGATCTGAAAAGGATTTAGTAGTTTTTTTTTTTTTTTTTTTTATGTTCTTAGTGTATGTTAGTTCTTCATGTACATATCACCAATATAATATCAATGTGAAAATAACAACTTTTTAGAAGTACAATAAAAAACAATTGACTACAACAATATTTTTTAACTTTTTCGGACTAAATGATCTATCGTAGGGAGGAGACGTTGAAAGCTATGCTTTTAACATTTTAAATTCGTGTTAGACGTTTTAAATTGTGAAATTTCTGGAATAAAAAACCAAACCAATTATCTGGGAATAGTAGAATAAGTTATTATAAGAAACGTATTAAATTTAATATGTATTCTCTTTTTTCCCAGTCCGCTGGTGTTCCTCAAGGTAGTATCCTAGGCCCTATCCTCTATACAGTTTATACAGCTGACATCCCTGCCTATCCCAACACTGTCATCACCACATATGCCGATGACACATGTATCCTATCAGTAAATAATGACCCAGCAATTGCATCCCAAATGCTTCAATCACACATCATAAATCTAAAAGAATGGTGTCAAAACTGGAGAATTAAAATGAACTCCAATAAATCCCACCAAATTACCATTACCCTTTCTCGTAAACCAACAACTTCCTGTCCTACAGTTTCCTTTAACAATACTCCACTTATCCCTGTTGAGCAAATCCGATACCTAGGACTCCACCTGGACAAACGACTAACTTGGAATCCTCATACTAGACTGAAACGACAAGAAACCGCTCGACGTTTCCGATTACTTCAGCACTTACTAGACAAACGCTCTAATCTTCCAATTAATTACAAAAGACTCATATACTTTACTATAATAAGGCCTATTTGGACTTACGGAGTTGAGCTATGGGGCTCCACTAAACCATCGAATTCCTCTCGTATCCAATCCTTACAACCCAAAATCCTTCGTAAAATCCTCAATGCTCCCTACTTTGTTACTAATAAAACCATCCATAATGACCTTAATGTTCATTTTGTTTCAGATCTGGCCCAATCCAGATACCTATCCTTCCATAATAAAGTTCATAATCATCCCAACCCTCTCGTTTCTAACCTTGCTTCCTCATCAATTCCTGATAACCCTCCGAGGCGTCTGAAAAGAAGATGGCCCCGTGATCTCCTAATGTAAACATATCATTAGAGTGCTACCATTGGGTAGTTACTCAGCAAGTGTTTTTCATGTCATTATATACGTTATGTTCTAATTTACTAGATGTATTTATTTAATACAGTTGTAAATGTCTTTAAGAAATTAAAAAAAAAAAATGTATACTGAATATTTTGTTTTCAAATTCATAATGATTTTTTTTTTAGTACAGGTAACGATTTTGAAAAATGAGCCAGGTCAAAGGTAAATACCGATTCCGATATGAATTTACCAAAAGCCTGGAATTAATCAGCAATGATTGGTTATCGATACAGGAGAGGAAAAGAAGATTGCCTCTGGTCGAGATGGATGAAAAGAGGCCCCTAGTGGTGTTACTCGCCTGGGTCGGTTCAAAAAAAATTCATGCTTACAAGTACGCCGACGTGTACCTCGAGAAGGGCTTCGATGTATTACTTGTTTCGACATCAATAGGGCAAATGGTCTTACCAATAACTGGTTATTTGGTAAGTTTCACTCAATTTATCTTATTATAACCAATCAGTTAACAGAATTACACTTGAAAAATTTCTGACTAACACAATTTTTCTACTTCTTTTGGACATATTTTAACTAATATCTATACTCCGGAGGTGAACAACATCATGTCCGTTATTATATTGTATTCGAAGCCATTTTTTTATATCTTTGCGTTATTAAAATTTGTTTCTTTGTTAATAAATCTGTACTCCGAAGGTAAAGGACATTATGTCCTATGACTGAAACAGAATTTCTGACTGGGCGGAAGCTAACAAGTTGATGTTGAAAGCGGAAAAGACCAAGGCAATTTTGATAGGCACCAATCAACTCCTTAAAACTGCTCCTAAAATCCCGATCCTGCTCCTGCATGGTAATCCTATCAAATTTTATCCCACCGTTAAGAACCTTGGAATGACTTTAGATCAAACCCTTAACTGGAAAGACCATGTATCATATATCTCCCGCCATGCCTTTTTCATTTTAAAATGTCTAAATTACCTCCGCCACCTATTTCCATTTGAAACCCGTAAACTCCTGATCACTTCCTTAATATTTCCTCTCTTTGACTATGGCTGCGCAGTACATGGGGACGTCTCTGGAGATCCCGAGGCAAAACTAAAACGTTTGATAAATTGCTTTGTACCATTCATCTTTGGGATCCCAAGGCCTCTGTCTCCTGTTTTTATGAAGAGCTGAAGTGGCTTTATCCTTCCTACCGTCTTAAGTACTTCCTAGCTTCCTTAGAATTCCATCGTCCTTCATACATCTCCAAACTCCTTCACTTCATATCCTCTGTTTACTCCCGTAAAACCAGTTCACGGTCCTCGGATTTGTCTCTAAGAGCCCACCAAACATCTGCCTCCGACAGATCTTTCATTATCCGATCATCGTCTCAATGGAATTATATTCCTTCTTGCATCCGTCGCTCTCAATCACCTCCTATCCGTTCAATCCCCATCTAAGGTCGTTGTAAATATTTGTATTTCATTTTTGTTTTTTGTTTTTTCAATTGAAAAGTTAGAAGACAACTTATATTTCTTTTATTTATTATTTCTATTCGTTTTAATTTTTTGTGATAATTCTCTGAAGCTTCGATGCCTACATATCTGTCTTTGTATATTATTCTAAAGGGACTTGTCCCAGAATAAATAAAGCATTATTATTATTATGCCACATTTCTGTATTTGTTTCGGGAGCCTATGTTCCATAACTCTGCGCTATAAAAATATGTTTCTTCGTTATTAAATTATTTATTGGAAAGTGGACAATCTGTTTTTGCCTCCGGGGTATGTATTTAAATTTGTTAATTAAAAAAAATAATGAAACATGAAAAAATACTTTTTTCCTTCTAATGCAATTGAGACGCCCGATTTAGTCTGCTGGCTTAAAAGGCAAAAACTCTACTTCTCGCAAGTAAGCAAAAAACAAAAAATCGTTCACGAAATAGCCGTGGCCCACACAATGGAGTACCCATTCTCCCAAGCTCAATGAAGCATGTAGAAATTTTATTTTTATTTTCTTAAAACCAATGAAAATGAAATATATTTTAAGTAAGATAAAAGGGAAATCATGATTAAAAACAATCAAACAACAAACACAAACAACACCAAACAAACAATGGCACTTGCTCTCTTGTTTGGAATTTCCTTAGAATTGAAACCTCACAAAAACATGGTTCTCTCCAAATTCACAACACCCTCAAAATTTGACCTCCCTCATAAATTTTGATAGCGCTACTTGCGTGCAATGCCACCCCTTTGTGGGTACTTCTCCACAAAGACACACTCAGGGGCGCGCCCTAAGCATCTTTCGATAATGCCAGCACCCGTGGGTTTCGTTCTTACCTTTGACACATTTTATTTTTATTAAAAAATTTCTAAGTTTATGAAAGTTTGTCCTAATAGTTTTAGTGAGCTGATCATATGTAAGGATTTAAAAGTGATTGCATTATTATTAAGATCATTTTATCAGTTATTATGAACACTTATTTATCTATACATGTTTCTTTCTTAAATTTCTTTGTTATAAATACACTATTGTAATTATTTAATCAGAATTGTAACTTAATCTTCAGGGTTATTTTTAAAATTCAACAATACTACAAAAACACCATAAATATTTATAACATGGCATATTATTCAAATTATAAAACAAACAAACACAATGCATATTTACATACTTTGAAAAAATACTTATAATATTTCACTTTTTACTTGTTTTTTTTTTTACATCTCGATCAGGTTCACAGGTACAGGATAAGGGAACGTGAAACAATGCGTCATATTTTGCCCTACCCAAAAATATGCAACTTTGCTTTGGTTAAGACTTTGGATAATAATTGGATCACTAAATCTCAATAAAAACTAGAAAGCCAAATATTCCGACCTCATTATCATATCAGCCACATAACGTCACATTTCTCCAACCTCCAATGTAACGTGTATCATGATTTTTTTATTTTGTTTTATGAATTTTCCCTTTGTGAACTTTTTTAGTGCATTTTAAATGAGTTTGGAAACGGAAAAGTTCTGTTCTACAGTAAAATGTCTAAATCCTATAAGCCACGTAGCCAGAATGGCTTGAGGAGGGGAATTTCATTACAAAGATGTCAGTAACTTAATTGTTTATCAAATTCTATAAACGAAGATCTATAATATCTTGATATATATTGATGAACCTGTTTGTTTGGTTTCTACGACATTGTCTGAAAAAGAGCGATAGAACCCTTTTTTACTTTCACTTACTTATATGTAACATATAGTAAGAGTAAGTATTGCGACCTTGAATATTTTTTAATCTGAGCATTCAACGGAAATGCACGTTTTGAGGTCCCCTGAGTCCAAATAACCAAGTCCCACAAAATGGTCTGTGTGTGTGTGTTAACAATCTAGCTCAAAAATAAAAAGTCTTACGGAAGTGAAATTGCGTATTTAAGGTCTTTATATGCTAGGGATGTTACAGCAACTTCTTCGTCAAAATAGGCTAACCGGAAGTGGCACTTTATATAATGTTATATAAATACTAAAATTTGTATATATGAAATAAATACTACTTATAGAAATAAAAATACCCACAATGAAATATAAACAAATATAGAGTCTATAATTTTTTTTTTTACTTTCACTTCGCTTTGTCTGAATATACTTATTTCTGCTAAGTAGAGGGTGGTAGGTAAAAGTTGTGTGATGTGCGCACCGCACCAGATTTTAGTTTTATAGAATTATCACAATTATTGTCAGTTTATGAATAGCTTGAATAAATTTTGCCACGAAGTTATATCCATCAAATTTATGTCGATTCGTTAATTGATAAATTCATTACAGATTGGAGAGTTATATAGTCTATATAGGCAATAAATGAATGACTAATGTTAGTCGAGGGATACGTCAAGTTGTTAAAGCCAATTGCTGACCATACTATCTCTTGAAAAATTACTATAGTTTTGAATCAGAAACTTTAAATGAACAGTACTTGGGCTCTTTTTTGTAGGTTAAATTTATAAATATACGCAGAATCTCTATAATTCGAATCCCGTTAAGATATAAATTCGGCTAATTTAAAATAAACAGCTGGTCCCTTGTATAAATCGTGATAGCTCTTAAAAATATATGAATTGGCACCTTAGGCAATTCTTAATGACTTTCGTACCCGAGGCCAATTAAACGTCCTACAATTCGTAAGTCTCTAATAAAAATCCCGTTTATTTCGAACAAAAAATATTCCTCCCTACTCTTCAATTAACTGAATAATTTTTGTTTACATTTTTTTTTTCTGTTTACATTGGATTGGATTTTCTATATTTGTATTCAGTTCAGTGTGGATTCGCCATGAGAACAAAACGTGCGCATACATGTCTTTTTGTTTGTGAAAAAGTAGAAATCATACTTTTATGCTGCTTTAGTAGCCAATAGGGACAAGTGAATTGATTTTGTCAAACGATTTAATATTCCTCCGTCTACACATACAAAAGGAGATCATCTCTAAACCATATTCTAGCAGCAAAATAAACAGTTTTTGAGGATTTTTTTTTATCAGAGATTACAAAATATTATATATATGAACACATTTTAGTTTATGGGTACTTGTGAGCGACGCGGGCTCTATGGGCTGCTATCTGCAGTTATCTTGTTATTTAAAGTGTTGTTATTTATATTTCTTATTATTAAATTACTATATTATAATTATATTTACATAGAGCCCGCGTCGCTCACAAGTACCAGTTCATGCTTTCTATTTTTCACTAAGCGTGTTTTGTATTGGTCATATATCAGTTTCTATTAATAACTGGTGACCCCGTTAATCTTAATTTTTATCTTTTTTTTAATATTCTATAAGGTTGAGATCGTATGTAGGATCCTTCCAAATAAAACCAAATATGGCTGTAATTATTCCTCGTATGTTGTTCTTACCCAAACTGTGTAAAGTGTACCTTTGGAATCATCCACATCGAACGCGATTCGAGTATTTCCCAATCTTTGTAATAAAGCTTTGGTTCCTTGGCATTACAAATTATCAAGATTGCATCCTATACGAAATTGTAAAATTTTATAATAATAAAAAAATATTGAAAACTTTATTCTAGAACCAAGTTATATCAGAACAATAAGCAAAGCTGGATGCTTATAGTCTAGTTATCTATTAGTTATATGCTAAGTAACCAGATAGTTTAATTCGATCGGAGGATTGAGATACAAAGAGGTGGAGGTATAATAGATATAAAAAAAAAAAAATTGGAAAAATAGAAAATATGCAAGGAATTCCAAAAGAAGAAAGTATTTGTCAAATAAAGAAGTTCTATGTGATAGAACATAACAATTGATTGATTGATTCAAGGGTAGAACACAAGGTAAATAGTTCAAACATATAAGAAGGTTTATTGGTTCTTGGGATTAGAAATAAGTAAAGAGAAATGGATGATGCCACTTTTATAGACACATATAGAAACATACATTCAACAACTAATTCCTCGTTCTAATAAAAAGTTATTATTTTCAAGCGATCATGCATCGAAGAACATTTTTTCATTTTATTTTTTTTTATTATAGGCCACCAGTTCTAATCTAGCTGACTTCCTAAATGAACAACAGAGTTACCAACCTTTAGTAATCCATGCCCTTTCTATCGGTTGTGTGGTCTGGTGTTACACTGAAGAGAAAATATTGAAAAACGTAGACAAATATCATAGCATGATTGATAGGCTGGCAGGTTGCATTTGGGACTCTCCTCCTAATGGTAGAAAGGCTTATATATTAAGTCATGTTGCTTTCAAGAAAGATGGCATTTTGCGAGTAATATGCGAAAAATTAATACAGTAAGTCCCTTAATATTGAAATCAAGTTAATAAATAAAGGTTAATGTTTTATTCTAATCCAATAAATATAACATTTATTTGACCATAAAGTAGTCTTAACATAAGAAAATTCAACATTATTAAGCGTGAAGGCTAGCAATTGTTTTACTTTGACAGTCCACTTCAGCCTTAAGTTGCTTCCATACTGTGCACGTAGCTTTGCATATTATTTATTTAAAACCCTGCCGTGCCTAGTAGGCAATATGGGTGTCTGCAATAGTAAGACTTTAGGCTGGTCAGCTTAACATCTCATCCGCTAGTGCATGGAAGTGCTTATAGCCCTATAGCTAGGGCTGAAAAAGAGTTATTTCAACGAATAATTTAAATGTAAATTATGAAAGTGTATAACGTTTGAAGTAAAAAAAAAATGTGTTTGCCATTTCTTTTTCCATTCTGCCTATCAAAATCGCAATCTTGTAAAAACGTCCAAAATTTCCCACACATTGCATAATAGATGAAACTTTGGCAGAATGATCACCAACCATCAATCATTGAACAGTCGCCACAATTTTTTGGCAGAAATAATTTCAAAAATTGCCATTTTAAACCAAATACTTTTGATTAGTGAAATTTAATAGAGTTCTGATAATGGTGGATTTTTGGCGCATAAAATTGTAATTTTTTAATTTTACTAGACCAATAGATCTCCGCTCATAGGCAGTCAACGGTTTCCTATTAACGAAATAATTCCATCAACTAAAATATCAAGCATCCTAAAATTGGAAAATTTAAGATCTAAAATTACAGGCATTTGATTGTTGTGGCCTAACAAAAGTACAATACAATTCACAATTTATGCTCCCTATAAGACTTTTTTAAATATTTTTTTTGTAGTTTCAATCACCCTAAATTCACTGAACTCATTAGTGGGACATCACAATGTAATGCACCGAAATTCACCATTATCAGAACTATCAACAAAATTCTATTGTATTATACTAAAAATGGATTTGAATTTTTCACATTTTGTCCATTTTTTTAACATCACTGATACCACTGAATGAACGTTCTCATTTTATGTAATCCAGTCGCTTAAAAATGATTAAAACATATCATTTTTATAAATAAAAAAAAATCAAGAACAGCAGAAGGGAAAGTTGACTTATTTAAAAAAATATAATTTCAAACCCTATTTTTTTGTCTGAAAGAATTAAATGTGTCTATAATAATGTTTCAAGTGAATGATCATGTTGAAAAATATGTTTTCTAAAAAGTAATAAGTAAAAATATAATATTTTCATAAGATTAATTTACTTTATTGAAAGCTTCATTGATTTTTAAGTTTCAATACTTCTTTATTATGGGGTTTGGATCATTATATGAAATATAAAATAATATTTACTTTTATTTTTTTCAGACTGTCGCTTTTGTTGACTTATTTTGTTTGTTATAAATACTTAGACCAAGCAACTCATTTAATTTTTAATCCTGGTCTGAAGTTACCAAAGCTGTTGCTAATTTCAAAAGATGATCCAATAAGCCAATACCGAATGAATATGAAAGCTTATGAAAACTGGAAGTCTAAGGGGTTCCAGGTAAATAAATATTACAACATTGTAAAAACACATTGATTAAAATCTTTTATAATTTTACTTTCCTGATAATTTCTCACTCAAATATTTCACAAAGAGATAAAAAAAAAAAATGTAATGGTAGCTGCTTGATTATACAACTTTAAATGCTGGTTGTAAAATTGGCGTTGAACAATACATATAATTCAAAAATCTAATATAAATTTCTTATTTTACTCACTGTTCCATAATTACTTTCTATACAAAAAATAGTTCCACTCCAGATACACCAAGTTGCCATTGCTCTCAACCTCTAAACATTATATTTATTCATCATTTCTTTTTTTTATTTAGCTCTGGTGAATGCTTTGACCGAAAGGTCGGCACACTTTGAAAGAAAGAGGGTTTTATTTCTTGTCCACACACCACTTCCTTCAAATAAATTCTTTAACTACATATCATTCAACAACAATGATTATGATTAATTTTTAAGAAAATAGAAATTTTGCAAAAATATAATATTCAAAAATTAAGAACAATATCAGTTTCATGTGTTAGAGGTGTAGCATTTATTTTTCATATGAAAAGCAATTACGAAACAAAGAATAAAATACCAAATACATCAGTCCATATCATATCAATTGAGTATAAATAAATATATTGTTTTATTTCTCATGTTTCGGAAGATTTCTGTGGCATCTGTGAAAACTTAATGTTAAGTGAAATTTAATGAATTTTAATGGGTTTCACCAGAAAGCTATTTTTTCTCTCTTTCTTTGTGCCTAATGGGCTAAATTATGCCTCTAACACAGAGATGAACCATGGGTTTGAAATTCGAAAATTGAACTTGCACCTGTTAAAATTTCAAACTTTCAATTGCGTTTTTCCATAAATATGCTTTTTGCACTTAACACACTATGCAGAGATGCCACAAATTTATTTTCTTTTTGACATCATTAGTGTCCCTGTCGTTAAACATAATCTATTCGCCTAGGGTTTATTTTTATTCTATCTTTATGTTTAATGAAAAGTGCAAAAAAATAAAAAAAAATAAAATTTTATTTCAAATCTGAAAATAATATTCCAATAAATTTAAAAAAACACTTAAGTAACTTCCCATTCCATACGTTGTTCGCCCTCTATCATATTTCAGTCACTTTAATAAATCATTAATTTTGATTATTGAATAGAATTTGATGAAGTTGATGTCAGACCATAATTATACTATAGCCCAATATGCCTTCAACTTTGGGCCAAATCGAACGAGCCGTTTTTTTGGAATATGAGCGTTTTAAGAAAACAGTACGTTCATAAACAACAAGTACGACCTAAGTAGACGATAGAATTTGCTAAAATTGATGTTGATTCATTTTTTCAATTATTCTCCTACTTTAATTAAACTTCAAGAAATCGCCAAATCGAACGGGTCGTTTTTGAAATAAATAGGTGTCGGTGGAAAGCCGCTTACGCTAAAATAATTGGATGTAGTGAATGGAATTTGACAAACTGGATACTTACTTCATAATTTTTTAAACCAATATTTAACTTACTTCCAGTTTCAAACCAAATCAAACGAGGCGATTTTGAAATAACAACGGGACGTATAAAGTAAAATACGTTTGCTGATATTTAAGACTAGGAAATTGATGGGACTCTATAGAATTGATGCACTATTATTATTATTATTATTATTATTACTAACCCTCAACATTTCTATAGCTTTGAACCGAATCGAACCAGCCGTTTATGAAATATATCTAAGAATGACTAAGAAAACACTATTGCACATTGCTTATGCAAAAACAGTAGAAAAAAGGGACAAATATTTTGTTAACCTCCCGCATAAAACAAAGTTTTCCCAAGTTTGGTTGTAAGAAATCAAAATCGAATTTATTTTTTTACTATTTTTATTTTTGTTTTAATTAATGATTAATTTATATGTAATTTATATTTTTAATTAAATTTTACATAAGTAATGCTATTACAATTGACTAAATAATATTAAGTTAATATTCATAAAAACTTAACTTTGCAGGTGAATCTGAAGCTTTGGGAGAAATCTATGCATGTATCCCATTTTCTCTTTCATAGACAAGAATATCTAAATCAGATCAATTTGTTCTTGTTATCAATAGGATTACCTAACAGTAACAAGAAACAAGATGTCATATAGATCTCATTATTAGTTAGAAGTCAACCAATTATTTATTAATACAATTATATTTTCAACAACAGAAAACTAAAACTGTTGATTATATTGAACAGGATAATTAGTTTCATAATTTAAGGAACTTGTTTTTTCGTAAACATATTTTTTAATAAGTCTATATTTAGAAAAAAAATAATGTTTTGCTAGAACGGACATCTCACCGACCTAGATTATATAAAAATGGGGCAATATATCAGAATTTTAGCAATCTAACGCTTGGATTAAGTCGGTTACCTGGTACTTACGTGGTATTTAATAACAGCTTTTTAACGTGAAGACAAATAAAAATTAAAAGTTGGTTGGGAATAGGGATGAAGAGATCTCGGGAGAAGAAAACGCTAGCCATCCCAGCATTTAAGAGAAAAAGCATAGTTTGTGCTGGCTTATGTAATAATGTGATCATTAATAAGGAAGACGGATTTTGGAAAATGTCTTGAGGACTATGGAGAACTACAAAATGACGCAATAATTTAAACAGATATCCACAGGAGACCACCATACCGATCATTATTAAAATTATTATGTTCCGTATAACGAATTGAAATAAGAAGTTTAATAACTTCTTTTTCTATAACTCTACTTATAGTTTTTATTTAATATATCATTTATGATAGAAATTGAATAAATATACCTATGCAAAGTATTTGATAAACTTATATTCAATAAATAAGTAGAGTCTTTTCATTTATATGTATTTTCAGTTTAAATACTGAATTTACAGCGAATTTTTGTTTCAAGTTTATCATTATTTTGCTTTTGATTAAGATTTGGTTGATATAAAATTGGTTTACGTTGGGACAAGAGCCATAAAAAAAATGTTCCGCATTACTCTTACCATCAAACCTACTTAACCATTAGATTCAGTACGTCAAATTAAAGAGAGTATGGAACTCATCGAAATTATTTAAAAGTAATATCTAGGTGAAAATTCTATGACTAGAATATCGAGCATTTTGTTCTATTGTGCGACGTAGGGGCGCCCCATCCCCACAACTTCTTAAAATTTATATGAATTTGAGCTGAAGATTATTTTTTAATTGAATTTTATTTCATTCAAGAGGCATATCTCTGATTCGATTGCCTTACTAATATCCTAAAACTAGTTTATCTCATGCGTCTGGTAAATTTTGAAATATTTAAAAGTTTCAGACGGCTGTTAAGTCCGACGCCCTCGGACTTCTTCCCGGATTGAACTGGTTGGGCGTAATTTCTAGCGTCCCTAGTCAACATTTTATCACAGTATTTTAGATAATTTATTATAAAATGATTATCATCAGATATCATGAACTCGTACCATTGGCTGAATTAAGGTTAAAACAATAATACCTTAGGGAAAGCGGCAAAATCAAAATTAGTCACAATCGATAGAATACAATGTAGATCAATTAGAATAGGCTTAGACCTCTGTAACAGCAGCCCGATTAATAATATTTTAGTTGAAGCTGGAGAACCGCCATTGATAATCAGAAGGAATATTTTGAGCTGTAAATTTATTTTAACATTCTTACAGCGAATTTAAGTAATAAACTGGTTCGATTTGCATCAGATACAATAACTCACAGAAATTGGAAAAATAAAACTCCCTCCCCATTGGTGAAAGATTTTTGAAAATTGTGTAACTATAAAGATATTATTGAATATTTAATAGTTGACCGTTGCATTATAAAGGACCCCAGACCATCTCCTTCCTTTATAAAGATATTATTTATTGCTTGGTTTGAGCTAATAATAGCGGGGCGCGCAATTCCAATTTAGGTTTTTGGGCTTAAAGACGCAGGGCCCTGTAGTCCTTCGGAACTATCGGTGCCTTGCTGTACGCATCAAAATCTTCAAAGCCCAAGTTGTCCCGTATCGATCTACAGACTTACTACCATTCCAGTATTGAAGCCTAGCAAAATGTTTGTATCGACTTTATTTATTTTAGAAAGAAAAACAAAAGTGGAGAATATGATTCGCTAATCCCCCTTGAAATTCTAAATCCAACAGCACCCCATTCCTGGCATTTGAGCATGACAGGAGCTTATATTTGATACAATTTTATAATACAATTATATTTGGTAATAATATATGTGGGGATTAAAAGAAGATAAATAAGGAACAAAAAAAACAACATACATTAAAACAATAGAAAAAAAAAATTAAAAAAATGGGACAGACTCATTCATTACTCATTGTACTTCTTATTTTTATTCATTATGATGTTCCTATTGTTTTATTATGTTAAAAAGAAACGTTTTTTTTATAAATATGTTTTTGATTAAAAAAAATTAAACAGGTTTATCTTCTTTAAATATGATTAATAATTATACTTGTATCATGCGAACAATTACTTTCCAACTACCTGTCATTCTTCTCAAGAACTAACTAATTCATATTATTATATAATAATTAAATTATATACAAGAATTTATTGCATTCTATTTATTTCTTACAACTGTTCCCACGACATTTCGGTTTGTGTGAAGCAAACAAAATTTAAGTGAGAAAATTGATTAAATACAATTTTTTTTAGCAGAAATGAATAACTGTTTATATTATTATTTTTTCATCACATTTATGTAGATACTTCCTTCACAAAAAAATACTTATTTTCCATCATACATTTGAAATTATGAATACCTTAAGTATATTTAAACTTAACATAAATATTAAAAACTTTAATAAAATACTTGAGACTGAGTAATCTTCAACTATGATAATCTTTCTTTTTTTTTACATTTTGGCAATCCAGCCATTGTCAGGTGGATTCTTCTTAATATAACTGATAATCAAAATGTTTCCTAATATACTAATTCAATGATACATTTGTTTTTAGTTTTGACGATTGCAATTTCTATACAAATTTATTTTTTATATTTTATTTGGTTTTGACTTAACTAAGATCAATTAATACAATATTAACTTCAATAATAACATAATATATTTTTTAGTTTAATACATTTGAATAGTGAATTAATTTAAGTTAATATTATATTTAAAAACAAGTATTGCTATTCAATTATCTTAAAATTTTAAAACGTATTAACAATTTTATGAAATTTAACTTCTCTAAGAACTTAATTCTCAAAGAAAAGGAAAAAAAAAATGTGTAACCAAAAGTTAGTGTACAATTGAACAATATACAAATTAATGATTTATATAAAAATTTGTAATTGAAACAAACAACAGCAAAAACTTTATATATATATATATATATATATATATATATATATATATATATATATATATATATATATATATTATGAAAATAAAACATCAATGCTGAATTGTCCAATTTACGCATTTGCTCAATTAAGGAAACATGGGAGCTTGGAGTTGGACAAGGACATCCCATCATCAGGTTTCCTGTGCCCAGTTCTTTAAGATATGAATAATGTTTATAATTCCCCTCCTAATGATTCCCTTATGTGTGGAGGACAACTAAGTGGTACTCGCCTCTTCGTTGCAGATTTCTCCATGTGAAGAAAAAGAAAAATCCGCCATACACTGTAAAACTTAGTCTTTTCATACACGAGTAAAATTGGTTTAATCCAAATTACATAGATTCCCTTTTTTTTTGTCCCTCTCCAGTGACCAGGTTCCATCTGGTTTTTTTTTTCAATTTTTTTTTTTAACTGTATGTTGGTTATCCATTACAACTAAAATTTATACTTAAATCTGATTATTTAATTTAATTTTTTTTTAATTAACCCTCTTTGACGCCTAAAAAAAGCTATTCTTTTACAAACTATTTTTTAAAATTTTATTTTTCACCATAACAAAAGAAGTAAACGGCGGTACCTCATCTCATGAAGCAGGACATAAAATCTGTTTCTTTTATGCCCCTGGTGGATAAAGTGATCTGCATAGGATAACTCTCTTTAATACATATCAGCTTAATTATTTTTTAACCTTCATTATTATTCTCAGAGTTAAATTGTTATTTTTAATAATTATTAACTTACCTACTTATTTATCTGTCGCTACAGGCTGATATGAACTTTGGCCTCCCACACAGTGTCTCCAATGGCCTCCTTATTCACACAGTAACTCCAAGTTCAGCTAGGTGCTGCTCCACACCTTTCAACCAGCTTGTTCTGGTGCCCCCTTCTTCTTTTACCTTGAAAGTCCTCCATTATTATCTTTCTCATCATCAGTCCTGACAGCCTTTTAATATGCTCAAGCAAACTTAACCTTCTTGATATTACAAACCTGACTCTATCCTCATGCCTTACAAGATCATCAAGATTCGCCAAGTGTCTTGTGAATTTGTAAGCTGAAAATACGTCTTAATATTTTTCTTTTAAAGACCATTAAGGGTAACTGATCTGAGACTTTTAGCATCAAGGTTTCAGCTGCAGAGCACACCACGGTTCTCATCAGAGACTTATGCATTTTCAATTTGGTTTTGTCAGGTCAGGTCCGTTCTGGTTTTGTCAGGTATGATTTTATTATTTTCTGAAGGCCAAAGTACAGGCTCTGTTTCCAGGTATGATTCTACTTCTGATCTCATCACTTCCCTTGTTTTCACAATTTAAATCCACTCCAAGTTAAGTGAATCGATAAAGAGCTTCAAAGTAATAAATATCTACAACTAAGTAACTAATAACATTGCTAAATAAAATAAAGACAGTAACAGAAAATTCTATCTGAATTTATGATCTTGTAAAACCCTAAAAGAACCACAAGAAATCCATTTAGAATCTTGTCTCACTGGGAAAATGCATTCTGGAATGACAAAGTTCTAACTACAAAATTTCAATATTCAATATTATATTAATAAGTAGTACAAGTAAGTCATAAACGAATACAAAATATAAGTTCACTGTTGTTAGTATGAGTAACGAAATATTCATATTACAGTAAATTGTAACATTGAAGCTCCGTTTCTCAAAATTATAGCAAATGCAGTTGGAACTTTTTCAAGCCAAGGTCACGATATGACAAAATTTAGTTTGTTACTAAACAAATTTAATAGAAAATTAAATTCCATGAATCAACTTTATGAGTTTTTAATACGTTATACTGAAAGTGATGTAGAATGTAAAATAACAAATGCTTTAATTGCACTCTACCATAGCAGATTGTGAGTCACCAACTATTTTCAATTATTAATAATTGTTTGCTTTATATATATATATTTAG